CGCCTATATGGAACGGTCTTTCTCAGTTCTCAAACAAATTAAGAACTACATTCGATTTTCATTGACTGAACGCACGTGCTTATTGCGATAGAAAACACTGTAACGGTTTCCACTGATTAAGAAATATTTTTGTTTGCTTGGGTGGTAATATTAGGCCTATTAATAGGGAAGGGGGGCCCAAAAATTTGTTTTGCCTATGTCATGAAAAGAGGTAAATCCGGCCCTGGCTGTGTGTGTACAACAAAACCACACACTTGGTAGCATTTGCATACTTATTTGACTATGTTTTGGGCGTCAGGATAGACACTGACAGCTTTGTGAGCTCTTGAATGACATCATTCCTGAGCCTCTGACTTTCACTCAAATCATAAATATTTAATCTGGCTTTTTTAGTTAATGGAAGAAGGCACATTACGCTTTAGCGGGTGAAATTACAGGTTAGAGACTTGCGCTTGGTAATGACTCAATACTGTCAGAGGCGTCACAGCTGCTGTTTTGTGACTGCCTTGTCTACTAACTTGAGGCAGTTCATCAGCAAGTGAACTTGACCTCAGGCTTTTGTGTGTGAAGCAGCCGTTTCAGGGGTTTGACTCAGTGGGGGAGGGTCTACGGTTAGTAAATGTATGTGTAGAAGGAGTGTAATTTAGCCCCACCTTTGTTTTTTTGCGTTTTCATGGTGGTCCACATATATGGTGGGGAGCCCAGCTGGTGTCCAGCTGCAGTGTCAGATAAGCCTTTCCCTGTCCTGTCCTGTGTGGGACCATGATTGTGTTTGATTGGTGTCTGCTGAGTGGTGCTTTTCTGTAGAGAAAGTGATTAAGCATATACAGGGCTGTCCTTAGCTGACGCGAGGCCCGGTGCGAGGTAGGGAGCGGGGCCCCCCTCGGGGTCCAGCTGGGCTCCCTTTGAAATATTGCCCATACTGGACACTATGAGCTAAACAGACAGCTAAACTGATTTGTGTGTGGAAAACACCCTGTCCTTTTATGTTTATAAATACTTCAATACATTTTACAATATAGGCTAATTTATGATAATTTTATGTTAAAATCTTAAACTTCTACTTCCAATCTTAAAGCATCCAGAATTAGAATTAACATGTATACTGTTTTTCAAAGAAAGTGTCACAGTACCTATTGTGGAGCAATATATATAATATTATATTTTAAATATATTTTTTATTTATTATGGAAGATACACAGAAAGATCGACAAACATCGACACCGACCGAGGATGTGAAATGACCTGCGTCTGTTAGAGCTTCATTCCCCAGGTCAGGTCATTAATTTGTGAAAAACAATCAGTTCGCCATGTCCACTGAGGAAAACGATATATTTTTGTCTAATTGTCCTGTCAGCTGGTATGTTTACATGACTGCGTCAGCGCTGGCAAGACAGCGTCAGCGTCTGTCGTTATAGCGTCGCGTTGCTCGTCGGTTGAGCTTGTAAGATAGTGTTTAAATTTCAAGTAATTTCAACATGTTTGTGTTCTTGGTAGTTCGGACTTGGCATGATTGACTCAGGAGTACGAACGTCCGAGGATGAGGACGCGCTATTTTCATACTGCAAAAAGATGGAACAACAGCCTGATAACTTCACGCAGCTAGTCTTGACATACTTTGATTGATTATCCTCATTGCAATGTATATCCACAAAAAACGAAATTTAGTATAGGCTAAAACACAGTCCTGCCTCTTTTCATTTTCATTTTAAAAATATGAATATGTTGTTCAGGGCAGCACAAGCAAACTGGTAATATAAAAAACATTCATGCCCCTTTTCATTAAATAATGAACATAGCTGTAGTGTCAATCCTGCACGTTTCTTTCATAAGAGAAGACATCATCCAACGATTCGAGGACGGTAATATTTTTTGCTGTCAACAGTCAATGTCACATCTGAAGGAGGGAAAAAAATGGTTTTACCAAACTGTATAAACATAAGAATAGGTAATAGATTTATGACTCCTTGTAACTTTTGTTTCTTGAGATCATGTGACCTTGAGCCTCCATATAAGTGGCAGTGATAGGGAACACAA